GGCATGGGGGACGGGTAGGAGCCCCCCAGTCCTCTGCTTTCCAGAGCTGAGATGCAGCTGCAGGGCAACGGAAACCACATCTGAGTAAACAAACACCCCGTGGTCTTGCTGCTTGGAGAGGGGAGCCTGGGGTTGTGTCCTGTACCCCAAGGATGCTCAGTTTCCCTGTAAGTCCCTAGGGTAGATCAAACTGAGAGCTGGTTTTGTTCAGCCTGGAGAAGGCAAGGCTCCAGGGACACCTTCCAGTACATAAAGGGCTACAAGAGAGCTGGAGAGGAACTTTTTACAAGTCTGTGTAGTGATAGGATGAGGGAGAATGGCTGTAAGCTGACAGAGGGCAGGTTTGGATTATGTTTTATGAATAAAATCATTACATGTGCTGAGTTGGAAAGGAATCACAAGGATCATTACAGCTCAACTCCTGGCTCTGCGCAGGACAGCCCCAAGAACCATAACATGTGCCTGAGAGAATTGTCCAAATGCTTCTTGGACTCTTGTCAGGCTTGGTACTGTGACCACTTCGCTGGGGAGCTCCCACCCCCTGGGTGAAAAACTTTTTCCTAATATCCAACCTAAACCTTCCCTGACACCATGCCATTCCCCTGGGTCCTGTCACTGGTCGCCAGAGAGGAAATCAGTGCCTCCTCCTCTACTTCCCCTTATGAGGAAGTTGTAGGCTGCTATGATGTCTCCCCTCAGTTTCATCTTCCTCAGGCTGAGCAAGCAGGTCCTCATATGGCTTCCTCTCTTTTTGAAAGAAATTCTTTGCTGTGAGGGTGGTGAGGCACTGGCACAGATTGCCCAGAGAAGCTGTGGATGCCCCATCCCTACAAGTGTTCAAGGCCAGGCTGGGTCGTGCTCTGACAAACCTAGTCTAGCGGAAGGTGTTCCTGCCCATGGCAGAGAGGGTTGGAATGAGGTGATCTTACATGTCCTTTAAGGCCCAAACCATTCCATGGACTCCATGACATGACTGCCCAGCCCAGCAGAGCCCTGGCCCCATGTCTCAGATAGCAGCTGTCCCCACTGCTTGCTGCCCTGAAGCTAAGGGTGTGGGGTTCCCTCGTGCCAGAATGCCTGGGTGCTGGTCTCAACAGGGCTTCCCCTTGCCCCAAGTAGCTTGCAGCACCACAACACCCCCAGGCTGTGTCCCAGGTGGTGCCTCTGGGGACCCTACCAGGAAGTGACACTCCATTTTTCATCACACCCGGCTGACAAAGTGTGCTGGGAGAGGATTGCCACTTCCCCTGCAGGGTGCAGAGCAAAAGACCAAGGCAGGGATGGAAGAGAGGGTCACATATGCCGATCTGCGCTTTCCTCCCACGGCAGGTAATGGCACGCAGGTCCCTGTCCCTGTCCCCACAGCTCTCTCAGTGTGTCCCCTGCCCTCCTGTAGCCCATTGCCCTCCCCAGGGTAGTTCTTCCAGGCCTGCTCCACCAGCTCCCTCTTTTTGGATGTCCTCTCCCAAACAGCTCCTCTCCAGCCCCCTTGCAGACTGCCTGCTCTCGGGGTGGGGGCAGGAGGGACTCAAGGGCAGG